CAGAGAAATACAAATCAAAACAACTCTGAGATTCCATCTTACACCTGTAAGAATGGCCAAGATCAAAAACACTGATGACAACTTATGCTGGGGAGGATGTGGGGTAAAGGGAACACTTCTGCATTGCTGGTGGGAATGCAAGCTGATACAATCCCTTTGGATGTCAGTGTGGTGATTTCTCAGAAAATTGGGAAACAACCTTCCTCAAGACCCAATAATAGCACTTTTGGGTATATATCCAAAGGATGCTCAATTGTGCCCCAAGGACATGTGCTCAACTATGCTCATAGCAGCTTTGTCTGTCATAGCCAGAACCTGGAAACAACCTAAATGCCCTTCGACCGAAGAATGGATAAGGAAAATGTGGTACATTTACACAATGCAGTACTACACAGCAGAAAAAAAATAACGACAGCTTGAATTTTGCAGGAAAATGGATGGAACTAGAAAACATTATTTTGATTGAGGTAACCCAGACAGAGAAAGACAATTATCACATGTACTCACTCATAGGTGGTTTTTAAACATAAAGCAAAGAAAGCCAGCCTACAAACCACAATCCCAGAGAACTTAGACAACAATATGGACACTAAGAGAGACTTACATAGATCTAATCTACATGGGAAGTAGAAAGTATAAAAAGACAAGATCTCCTGAGTAACTTGGGAGCATGGGGACCTTGGGGGAGAATTGAAGGAGAGAGGGGATGGTACGGTAGAATTATCTGTATTCTGTCAATCATATTTTAATAAAACGCTGATTGGCCAGGCAGGCAGTATAGGTGGGAAAGCCAGACAGGAAGTAGGGGTGGAGCAAAGAGACTGGGAGTATTCTGGAAGCAGAAGCTCTCTCTCAGCCATTCCTGTACAGACCACCGAAGAGACAGCATGTAACTTGCCCAGCAGAGAAAGGTACGGAGCCATTATGGCTAACATAGATGAGAATAATGGGTTAATATAAGTTATAAGAGTTAACAAGAAGCCTGGCCTAATGGGCCAATCAGCTTTATAACTTATAGAGATCTCTGTGTGATTAATTTTCTTTGGGGCTTGCTCGCTGTGGAGTACCGGGCAGGAACCGATACCCCAACAAGCCGGCCCCCTCATTGCTACAAGGGGAGAGGTAGGGAGGGGGTGAAGCAGAGAAAAATGTAGAGGTCAATAAATATCAATTTAAAAAAAAGGAAGAAAGAAAAAAGAAAAGAAAAATACAGGGAGCACTGGAGGAGCAGGGAAACCAGGAGCAAACCTGTTGGATCTTGCCCTTCCAGAGTTCAGCCCCGACAGAATCATTCACAGAGGAGCTGGAGGGAGGACCCAGCGGTTAAGGTTGCCAGCTGCACTAGCTCAGGACAGGAGCGGAGATCTTAGCTTAAGTTAGGGAGCTTGCAAAGGTTCCAGAGCCAGGAGATCTGCCGCCCTCTTCTGGCCTCTGCAGGCATCGCCCCCCCTAAAATACATTTTTTCCCAAAGGTTTCAAAAAGAAAAATAACACGATAGAGAAAAGACACATTTTAAAAAGCAGCAAACATAGATGGATGTAACATGAGGGCCGGTTTATTGGGGTATCTATCCCGCCCAGCACCCCAACAAGTCAGCAAACCCCAAAGAAAACCAATCACACAAAGATCTCTATAAGTTATAAAGCTGATTGGCCCATTAGGTCAGGCTTCTTGTTAACTCTTATAACTTATGTTACCCCATTATTCTTATCTACGTTAGCCACATGGGCTCAGTACCTTTCTCAGTGTGACAGCTTACATGTTGCCTCTTTGGTGGTCTGGACAGGAGTGCTGAGGGAGCTCTGCTTCCAGAATACTCCCAGTCTCTTTGCTCCACCCCTACTTCCTGTCTGGCTTTCCCGCCTATACTGCCTGCCTGGCCAATCAGCGTTTTATTAAAATGATTGACAGAATACAGACAATTCTCCCGTATCA